CTCCCGAAGCCTGGCCTCTCACACTCGGTCGACACCCTCCTTCCACCACCGCAGTCTTCATGAAGTGGGCGCGGGGAGCCGCGAACCCCAATCCTTAAAAGTCAGGGTTCAGAATTCTGTGGGCCTCGAGCCCACCCACCGCCAGCCCGCTCCCCGCCCAAGGTCTCCCAGAGCCTGAGTTCTCTGCGGGAGTGCCTCGGACGCCGGGGGCCCTGGTGAGCTGGCCTCTCCCAACCCTAGGCTCAAAGGTGTGTTGGGGGGTCATGCGTCTCCCACGTTCCTCTCCCTCCCCCCACCCCAACGCAGAGCGTGGGCCTGGGCGTGGGCCTCAGTGCAGATGGCGCTCTGGCCCCAAAATAGCTCCCCCTTCCCTCCCTGCAGCCCAAAGTGGGTGAGGTGAGGATGGACCCACAGGGGTCGGGGTCGAGGGCGGGGGGTCGTGCGGGGGTCACTGCTCTTCCAAAAGGGTCTGCTCCCTACAGAGAAGGCTGGGTGCGTCTTCAGGGGGTCTGGAGGGGGCGGGGGAAAGTCCCTCCCGCTGTCCTCCCAGTCCCCATCTGGGAGGCCAAAGAGTTCCTGGGAGAAGCAGCCCCACACCCCCAGTCATCGCGCTCTCTGGACGCTGGGGGTCTCCCTGGCCCCCTCCCCCTAGTCCTCTTCCCCCTCTTCTAGGGGGTCCTAGAACTCTCCGCCGTCCTGAGGGCCAAGACGCCCGCCCACCCAGACCTTCCATTTCCGGGGCTTGGGGACCCGCGCCCCTTCGAATGCCCAGCCGGGTCCGCGTCCCCGAGGGTCCACAGCCCAGCGCACAGGACGGGACTCCTTCCGAGCGCCCCGCAGGACTCGGACTACCCAGCCAGCCCGCTCCACACGGACCCCTACACCAACAACCCGGTCTACACCGTCGCCCGAGTCTGGACCGCTTCGGGACAGAACCCGAGATCCCCACCCGCGTCCACACGACCCCCAACAGAGGCGATCGGGGACCCCCGAAGAACCGAGCCGCGTCTACACGGGTCACCCCCCGAGGCGGCCTGCCGCAGCGCCCAGCGCTCGCCCCTCGGCGATCCGGCCGCGTGTGCTCAGGTCACCCCCGGAGGAGCCCAGCCGCATCCACGCGGACCCCGGGAGCAGCCCGCGCCCGCACGGGTGCCGACCCGCAGCCTCCCGCCTACCTCCAACGCAGAGCAGGGACATGGCTCCGGAGTCCCCGGCGGGCCGGGGGCGGCCAGGCCGGCTCGGTGGGGTCGGGCTCAGCGGCCGCCGGCTCCGTGCATCTCGCGGCTGCAGCCCGCGCTCTGGTCCCGCCCGGGCCCGGCCGCCGCCAGCCATCTTGGTTCAGCACCGGGGGGCGGACAGCTCCTGACGTGGCGCCGGCGCGCGGCAGGCGGGGCCGGAACGCCTGATGGGGCGGGGGCGCCGCAGCCTGGGGGTGCATTAAAGAGCCCCGCGTGGAGCCCCGGATCCCCGCCTCCAGGCCTCCCCCGCACGGGGACTGGGCGGCCCCCACGCATGTCGCCTGCCGGCTCTGCCCGGAGGATCTCCGCTCCTCAGGCTCTGGGTCTCGGTCTCTCCAACACTCTCTTCCCCGCTCTCTGCTCCTGTTCTCTCCAGGCCTTTCTTAATCATGTCTTCCTCTGAGCCCCTCTCTGTTCCTTTTCTGTGCTCTGTTAGGTCCCATCTAGGTCTCAATGACCCGTTTCACTTTCTCTAAGCCACCCATCCTTCTTTCCCTGTGTAACTAGAAATCTATTCATCCGTCAATGCCCACTCCTCCTCCTCCGGCAAGCCTTCCTTGACTTCCCTTGCACTGACCTCTCTGGGTCCCC